CTGCGACACGCGCTAAACGTGTTGGCGCACGGGTTGGACGTTCGGCTCAGTGATAATTCCGTGCTTCATTAGAGGGGTCTGCCGGACTTTCGACGTAATGGGAAAACGGTCAATAAAGAATAAGAGGAGAGTGAGGAGCGTTGCCCTCTAAGGCTGTTCTACCCGACGATGGGTGTCGTAGCGACTGGTCATGCCAGTATAACAGCTGTTCTCAGTCGAGATCGTCGTAATCAAAGGAAAGGCGTCCAAATCATCCAAAGCCTCCAAGTAAGCTATGGCTGCGCGCTTCGCACAATGCATGTATTTGCCTCTGAAGTTCGTTACTAAAAGCGTAGTCTAGCCATTTCGGACTTGAACGAGACTTCAAGCAATGGTGACTTCTCGATCATGCTATAATGTGAGGTTACTTTCGGTGATGCCGGTAATTGACGGCTCCCGTGGACACTCAACAAGCACGAAGATACTACTGCGAGGTGTAACTTGACGCAATCAACTACGCGTAAAGCCGCGCCACGATGTTCGTTCTCGATGTCGGAATCTCGAGAAACACAGTTGGCAAAACGGACGATCACATCACGCAGATTCATTATCGTTCCATACTCTTGCAGAAAATCTATGGCGAAAATGACCAGCCGAGAACGTTTGGGCAGTACAAGGAATGACGCTACAAAAGCCGACGCACAAACCTCAAGCCTGGTGGTGCATCTTCCTATCGGGGATACGAGGTGTCCTCCAGTGGTAATTAGTTGACGGCCGTCCTACATTCTAAGCACCTTGGGTAAACGGATGGCTAATAAAGCACCCTTTACCGAGTAAGCCACTGACAACATGGAACCCAAAGGCGGGTCGTGCGCGGTGCGTTGATGTGGACGGACGGGTAATGGTGACCGTGACTGTCATCGTGGTGCGACAGTTCGAAGGAATAGCGGATATGGTGGAAATATTAGTGGATATGGTGGAAATATTAGTGGATATGGTGGGAACTGTAGTGGGCATAATGGCTGATGACGGCGAGAGTGTAAAACATGGTGGCAGGTGGTCGTGGTGGTGGCGAGCAATTGATGACGACAGTGGAAAATGCCGGCTGATGATGGCGAGGCAAAACGTGTTTTGTGGAAGGCTTGGTGAGCAAGTAGGGTGACAGTGGCGTGATGGAAGCTTGGTGGATGATGGTAGGAGAATGAAAAAGTACATGACAGTATGTGAAATTACTCAGTTGTAGTGTTCCGTTTTTGAATAGGCAGATATATTTGTTTACTCTCAAAAGAAACCAATCCTGTTCATCACGCTTTCTAGCACGTTATTCTTTTTATTGATGTGGTGTCAACAACGCTTCTATTTTTGTAGAGCGTAGAATATGTGGCCATGAATATGTTTACATTTCGCGCACGTACAAACAGCAGTTTGACATCCGCGATGTGTTTCTTTCTTGTGGTGTTTAGAAGACTAGAGGTATCACTGTGAACAGTGGCAATAAATGCTTTACATAGGCGCGCAGTTGTCAACAAATAAATGAGCTCCAGTTCGCAATTTCCCCTTTCAATGTTAAAGCAAAACATAGCGGTCACTTGATGTCGCCACGCTATAAACGCAACTCTGGCAATTCTTGTACACTCTATTGCTTGAGCTGTACTTTTAAGTTAACAAAGTGCATGCAAATACGCATAAACGTTCACTTTCAACATGCGTCGAGACGAGCTCCAGTGAATTTGACTTCCACCCTTCCACCAAGATTTCCACCTAAGGTTAGTCATACCGACCGAGCCCGTACAAGTGTTATCGGTGCTTCTGGGTTTCAGAATACGTGATTTTGACAAATATAAATGACAATACAGCATAGCTGTGGCATCATATATTCTAAATGTAAACTTTTTATTGCGTACGATGTCCGCGCAAGAAGCGACAAACATCGAGGCGACGCGCTTGCAGCACTTCCACCGAATTTACTTCTCCCTTCACCGACAGCCGCAGGTCGCATTCACCGGAACTTCACTGCCTCTTATGCGAGAACACAGACTCGTCAATTCGTACGTATGCTGACTGAACCATTATGATAGCATATATAGTGTTTCTGGCGCACTGCATTCGTTTTGACCAAGCCGTTATGTAGTTGTTCCTAACGACAGAGCAACAGCAGTGCGCTGGCACGAATAAGCTGTGCGTTCCGCGAAATACATCACAAACAATTGTGTGGGCGAATCTATCGAATGAGCATAAAAGCGTTATAAAGCCTGAACAGATATCGCCCGTTAGAAGGAGCAAGAAACTTCGCAGTAACTGCCGATAAACTCTACCTGCTCTTCAGTTCTTTGAGTTTTTTTCTTGCGGTTGTGAATTGTAACAAAAACATAGTGCTGTTGCCATAATTGCAGTGGCATTTGTTACAAACAGCAGTTGTTTGGGTTTATAGAATGTGAAAATTTTAATAGCAGGTGCACATCCCGTCCATCTCAGGTAAGCTGAGACAGAAATGAAGTTGAACAGTGACTTTGTGAGCTGACTACTTCTTTAACAACAAAGTTGCCATCTGTCGGCGTAGCGCAGTGGTTAGTCTAACTTAGGAATCCGAAGGTGGCAGGATCGGTTGCGCGCTGTCGCACCCTTTTTTTACGTGTGGTTTCTACATTGTTCTTTATACAATTATTTGTATTATTTCAATAGTGGCAGCTCGTCTCGGTGGTTTTGACACTGCTTCGCGCGCCAGCATTGCCAGCTCGAGCACTCCATTTATCATCCGCTCCACCATACGCCACCATACACCGTGTGCCATCAACATTTCCGGCACCATTATCCACCAAAATGGTGTATGGTGGAATCCTTCATTCCCATGATGGACGTTTTTTCAATAGGGCGGGCCTTTTCCGAAAGAACTTTGTAGTGAGAGAGAAACGAGAGACAGCGTTGTAAAGGTGGTTGATGCGGCAGTGCCAATGTTGCCACTTTCTTCGTAAAACAGGAGCGGAGTGGCTGTGGCTGCCAGCGTCAGACACGCCAGGTGCGTGAAGTCGTTGTGTTGCTCACTCGAATGGCACGGCGGGGTGGCTGAGAAATTATAATGAATAATGGCGATGATTACAACACTGCAGATTACTCCTCCCGGCAGACATTAAACCGAAATGAAAAACTATATGGGGACTTATATACAAGAAGGGTGGTGACGCGAGACAAAAGGTAATGGGGATAGTACAGGTCGTCAACATAATATGGCGCTGGGTCTACATGGATGTTCTCATGGTCGACAGTGGGAGAACCGCAACATACGAAGAAGTAAATGGTCATGCATCAGCGTGTCCCACAATGACCTATTCGGATAGATCGAGAGCGGAACATGTGTGGTGAGGCTTGGCTGCTAACGTTGGCAGTGGGTCGGCTGCGGTGATGTAGATGTCGGTGTCCACGCAGCACGGATCTCAGAGTTGCGTCCGGTGTGCTTGCGTGGTTACGCGAGCGGACGGATGAGGAAACATGCTCGTTTAACGGCACCACGTGCACTGTGGGTAGTCAGGTGCCCTGTAAGTGATAATCAATTGCGTCGACCAAACCTAGTAGACGCTGTCTTGAAGGGCATGACTGCAACGCGTGGGTGCGTAGCTGGACGGCCGAAAAAGGGCCAGTCTGTTTCATGCCAAGTGCGATGAGTTCGTCGACTTGGTGCAACAGCTGGTAGTTAAGCAGTAGGATTGGGCATCGTCACTGTTGTGACCATCAAGACCTGCGTTGTGGACACGCGTCATGTAGTTCTCATGCAGCGTTAGAGGCTCCGGGGATGATTGTGGAGCCCCACTATGACTGACCTCCCCAACGAGAGGCAGTGGCTGAGAAAATATGATGATAATGAATGATGATGACGCTGCAGCCTAATCTAAGCACTGATTGTGTAACTAATACTAATTTGTCTAACGGATCAAGAAAGTACACGTTAATATAAAATACATTGCAGTACAGTTCATTGTGGCGTGAATTAGGTTCAGACTTCATTATACGACTACGAACATGCATTCCCGACACACGTCGTTGCATGACGGCAAGGTCGTCCAGGAAAGTGTGTTCACTCTTCGGCGAGTGATGGGTTTTTACTTGAAAATTTTTGTAGCTGTCAGTTATGGTTTTGGTTTCAAGGAACTCATAGGAACCAGTAATGGAAGTGTTGTTGCAAACTGAGTCATGTACGTGAGCACTCAAAACAGTAACGCACGTGTCGTAAGCTCTGCGCACGGACCCGCGTGCATTTGAACGCCACCGTGAAAAGTGTGGTAGAGAGTCTATGTAAGAATGGCAGCCCAGTTTAGGTGTTGTAGATGTGTTTTGTTATCTATAAAACGGGGTATTTAATCATGTCACAAAGTGATCTGTTCTGCTCTGAATTCCGCAGTAAACTTTTTTTTAAATTGGTTTAAACATGCATTCACTTTTGTATCATTCATTGATAGTTTGCAGACGTTGTGTATGTGCGTTAATTGTGGTGTCTCAATTTACGTCATTATGAACGTTTCAAAACTGTACTTCTTCATGCACATAAGAGTGCCACTAGCGTGACAATTTCGCCATTCTGAACATTCGGGGTGAGTTTTTAATACCCCCAACTTGCTGCGATTCCATAGCCACCAGAATGAAATTCGAAAGCACTCAATGTCTTCTAATAAAGCGTCTCTCATTCTAAGCGACATTAATGACGTATCCTGCTGCATTGCCTTTACGGTCACGTGAAATACATCAACGGCACCTTGTCGGACTGACCACCCACTCGAATACACACACTTTCAGCTGGTTCGAGTGGTTCAATAGGGCAGCTCCTAACATAAGGTTGATTTAACAACACGTTCACACCGCAATAATAAGGCGGGGCCAACAATTCTAAGGTTGGTTCACGCTGCACGTCTTGTGGTTATGCTGTTTACTTTGTGAGAAGTTTCCGTTTATACGATTTGTATTTTAACATACATTTTAGTATTGTCATCATCTCTGTGTCCATTCTAATGATGCTTGGTTTGATTTTATAGTACTGTGGCGGCTACGTTTTTTATGCCCGTTCTACAGTGGAGGGATTCGCCTCTAACTCCGTTGAGAAGAGGGCAATCACCTTCGTCACCGACCAGATTGTGAAAAAATTGGTGAGTAATCCACACTGTTTTTCATACAATGGCACAATAGTGCGTTTTGCATATAACCTGTTATCGGTGTCAACAACGTCGGTGGTTACAGAAAAATGAGTGTTGTCATTCAGCGAAACCTCTAATGAACTCATGCATGCTGCGTGGCAAGCAGGTCCTCTAAGACCGAGCCAATGCATTGCTAAGAAGTCCTGCTGCAACACCGTTTACGATTGATATCCAGTGCGATGAGTCTACCTACTTAATGTAATGTTGTGCTAAAGAAGCTTGGAATCGCGTCTGCTGTTGACATCTGAATCGTGCCATGAGTGGCGGCTGTGAAAGCCGGACTATTGCAAAGCGCTGAGGCAGCTGTTGAGTAGTCCGGTTTGTTGGCTTGCAGACGGGTTGTGCGTATTTGGCTGATTCACATGATGGCGAAGTGGGCACATCGCCACTGCGCTTACAAAACTCACTAAACGATATGTTTAGGCTTCTCATGTTGCATACACCGACGTTATTTTTTTGTTAGTGTAGAAATTTCGACTGATAACCCAAGCTAGGTTAGCGTTTGAGAGAGCCACGCAAACGGGTCTCGACTGCACTATCGTGTTCAATTCTTGAAGGCGAAGCTCAAGCTTCTTTCAACTTTCTATTACTTTTTAGGAGTTATCGCAATGTTGAGCATCAAATAATTGGTCTCATTTAAAGCAATGCGAAGCTCTCATAGAAAGGGGAATCGTTATCGGGGACAAGAGATGCTATGGGATGTAGCTAGCCGTAAAATTATCATGCATAAAATGGGACCATGTCGCGCAGCGCAGACGAAATTCAACATTATGAACAGGAGCGTTTGTTCTGTAGTGGCAAGAGAATGTGATTATGATGAAAACGACAATAAAGTTGTCGAGCAGGTGGGCGCCCCATGGCCCTCTCACATCCAGTGGAGAAGATGACGTTGGTCATCGAAAAGCTACAACCTACGAATCCAGAATCCAAAACAAGGTATTACAATACCTTGTTATGCACAGTGCTAGATTCCGTTGCATGAGGAGGAGGAAAGAATTTTATTTAGAGTCCGGTGAGTTGGTGGGGTGGGCCAATGGTTCGCCTAGGTTGCGGCCAGAAGTCCTTGAACCCTGGGGGCTTCCTCAGCCTCCTGGACGGCCGGCCAAAATATGATCTTCGAGGACGGGGCTGAGCATTGAGGCTTCCCAGGGCGCGCGAAGGCTGCCACCAGAGGCCACATACTCGTTATGGGCACTAATCCCTCCACATTCCCATAACATATATATGCCCCAAAGTGGCTCTGCAGTCACAACACTTGCATTTGTTCGTTTTGTAAATATCGGGATATTATGGGCATATAAAGCACGCTTCTTCATCACCTGCATAAAACAATCATAAACTAGTGTTCTCCATCTTCATCGCTAGTGGATATGGCTCTTGAGTCGGTTCTGCGCCTCGGAGGTGACTGTTTTTGGCCACATCTTCTAGGCCTGATAAGGGCTTGTAAAGGACTCTGTCGCAAGTGGTGGAGGTGCGGGGTAAATGAGCGCGAGTGCAGGGTTGGGATCCGTCCTAGTTTGTAACTGCCGCCATTCGACAGGCTGTATCTTTGTTAATTTTGGGTGAGGGGGTAATAATATGCTCCTCTGTAATCTATAATGTTTAGTTATGTCATCGTATCTGGTAATTCTGTCTTCCCGAACCCACTCGTGTGCCACGCTGTCAACAGTGGAGGATGCTGGGGCGGAACTTGAGAGGGTAGCTCGGTCGTTGACTCCTCGGGCTGCAACATGTACAGCCTCGTTGTTGTAGTCTCCCGTGATGGCGTGAGCACCTGTCCATATAATGTATTTGTGTTGCTTGTTTGATCCCCTCCAAGTAGATTGCGCCGTGCCTCTGGTGAAATTCGGCCGTTGGCAAAGTTTTTCACTGCCGCTTGCGAGTCACTGACTATCAGGGTTGCATCTGTCTGAGCTACTGCAAGCGCTTGGCTACCTCTATCGTTGGCTCGGTACTTGTGGTCCGTATCGTCGCGCACGTCGTACAGCGTTTCTTGCTGTCAATTGCTGCCGTAAATCCCCGTCTGCACTTGTATCGAGCATTGTCAACGAAAACTGCGTCCTTGTCATTACCAGACTTTTTTTGCATTTGCTTTACTACAGTCTCCCGTCTGGCCTTATTGTGTTCGGGGTGCACTTTTTTTTGGCAAGGGGGCTATCATCAATGTTTTTCTGGTCTCTCTTGGGATGTCTACATTGACGGCGTGTTGTGTGTGATACGTTACGCCTAGTCGCTCTAGGATATGTATTTAAGCTCGTGTCTTAGAAAGACGTTCCTAATGTGCCGTACGGTAGCCGCAATGAGCTCATATATGGTATTGTGCAGGCCAAGTTGTAGCAGTTTGACCGCCGGCGACAATCCTCTTTTCTTAAAGAGGATTGTCGCCGAGCTACGAGGGAATGGCTACACAGAAGCGTTCATCCGCCGGGCGTCACGCCGTTTGTCGAGACGACAACCACCGCACCGCGGAAAGACACCTGCAAGCGACACACCGCCCGACCCCCTTTCCGCCCTGGCCACACCACCGCACACGAGAAAAACGAAGGCGCCAAACAACCGCGTCGCCATTCCATATGTGCCGGGCATAAGTGAACAGCTCTCGAGAGTCCTAGGAAAAGCCGGGGTCACGGTAATCCACAAACCTGTTTCGACGCTCGCTCGCTTGCTACCGCGGCCGAAAGACCGACCTCCGAGGGAGCTACACCCGGGCGTTGTCTACAAAGTGTCGTGTTCTGGGTGTCCAGCCTGCTACATAGGCGAGAGCAAGTGTTTCCCGGAAAGACTGCGCCAACACAAGAACGACGTCAGGAAGATGGAAGTGCAACGTAGCGCTCTGGCGGAGCACTGCGAGAAGCACGACCATAAAATTGACTTAGACGGCGCTTCTGTTATTGAAACAGAACGGAATTTGGGAAAGAGGCTCTTGCTCGAGTCTTGGCACATTCAGCATACGCCTGCCAACGTGAACCGCTCGCTGGGATCAATGCCTTCGGTGTACGTTCACGGTCTCCGAAACGTGGTGGAAAGGGAAAGCCGGAGCCGTGGTGAGAGAACACGACGCGACGACACTTCCATGACCAAGACAGTCACCCCCTGAGGAAGGGACCGAGTCGATCTCGAAACGTCGGACTCTATTTGAACTGTGGCTGGAGCAATTTCAATTTTCTAAACCTTTCTACCCAGCCAGACAGATTGCTGTCAAAATGTTTACGTTCAATCGTGAGATGCGTGTAATGTGAGAACATGACTACACGCCACAGTCAAGGCGCTAAAACATTTCGACATGACGTGGTGCGCGTGCTCGCCAGCGTTCATTTCGTCGCGTTACGCTGGCGTTGCCACGCCAGGCGCCGGTCTTGCCATTAGAGAGTTTAGTACTGCGGAATGGTGCTACCTACGCATCACGCAAGCGCCTTGCGTTACGTGGTGTCGCTTGCCACTAATCGGCTTTTAGTACGCCGTAGTACCCGCGTACGTAACGAGCGTGAAGCGTGTTGCGCCAACTGGTAGATCAAAATAGAAGCACGTGTCGTTGACAGCCAATGTGAGCCAATCCAAGTGTTATAGCCAGATTATGGCCATATTTTAAGCCACAGCGCCGGTTGGTGCTTGCCTTCGGTGCCGCCATTTTGCCAAATCAAGTCTCGCGCTGTGGCGAACTTGTTCGAGAGCGGCGCGATCACCTGATACGTACGCACGCACCCATCTCATGCGTGCGTACGTAGCGGCTGCGTACGTAATGCGATACGTGCGCGTTACGGTCTGCGCGTGCGCACTACGCAGAACGTGGCGTCCTTACGTACGCAACGCCGCCACGTACGCAGCGTACGCATTACTAAAACTCTCTATTTACTCGCAGGCGCACGCCACGCTGCGTTGCTTTGATGCATGCGCTTTTCAGCGCGTCTGGCGTCCTTCCGTCATGAGTCATGAAAAAAGCGAGACGCAGTGTTGTCTGGGTAACAAAGCTGCGTGAAATGCGGCATGCCGCATTTTGCGCCCTTTGTCATCGGGCCGCGCTAACGGACGCTGGTTTCGCCTGGCTTCCGACTATAGAGTGCGCGGGTTTTGCTAACGTAGTGGGACGCGCTTTGTTTTGGACTTGCTGTCAGTGAGCTGTTCTGCAGAAAATTGCCCTGTACCTACGGATGCCACTCGTATAGGCAAATTTGTCCCTGTTTTCGGAGTTTTCGAGATTTTCCTATCAACGCCGTGGCGGAAAGGCTAGGCCTATCTCCTAGGCCAAGCCTGGGCCGCGTCGCCGGGCGTCTGGCTTGCACCTGGTGACCGTGGGCCTTTTTCTTTATTTTATTTATACATACTGCAGCCCCTATTAGGGCTATTGCAGGAGTGGACATACAAATGATCAGGTGATAACAAGTAGAAACAAAAACATGAGCATATGGCACAAATTTGTGGTTCATAGTACTACACAAGATACAGAATGAACAGAGCAAGGGCACAGAAAGCAAAAGAACATGGAAATAACTCGCAATCTCCTGTTTTTAGGCTGAAGATAGAATATTACGTCGAAGGAGAGACTATAACGCCCGAAGATTTTGAAGAGGGAGAGTGGGCTCCAGTGCTGAAGGCACAGGACCGATTTAAGAAGACTCTGCATGGCGACAACGCCAAGAGTAAGCCTTGCGAAACGGAGACCGGCAGGGTGCAAGACGAACGGAACGCAGCAAGTCAAGCGGGGGAAAGCGCCGGTGTGGAAGAAACGTGGACCATTTCTCAAGTTGCCAGCCACGGATTTCAAGGTTGTGTACAGGCCCCAGAACTGGGACTTGAGTGTTGTGAGAGTGAGAAAAGTCGGATGTGCACTGAGAGCAGCAGCGCGTCTATCGAGTGCAATTGCCGCGGAAGAAGACATTGTGTGATTTAATGGCACAAACAACACGTTGACGGTGAGCACACCGTGGATAAATCGCAGTGGGGCATATGCGACA